AGACAGACAGACAGACAGACACAGAGAGAGAGAGACTTCTCTGGGGAAGAAGGCAGACAGCTTCCGCAGACACCACCTTCTGGGACCAGAGACTTGGTGTGATCAAGTGTGCAGGCCTCACACATGGCCAGCACTCATGCTTTTGAAACATTCGGAAAGAGCATTGAGCTCTTTCTTTCATGCCAGCCAGTTGGAATGACTTCACAGGGCTCCCATGATGTACACCTCAGCCCCAGTGTTTCCACTGCTCCCTGGAAGATAAGTGCTCTTGATCCCTTGTCTACCATCAGCCTACTAGTGTCTGGGCTGAGCTCACTGGTGTGTGGCCGGGGGCATGCAGACACTGCAGTGGTGGGGAAAGCTGGGATGACAGGGTGGCCTGGACATGGTGTTTCAAATACCTGGGTTTGTGTCATTGCAAGAAGCATCACAACACAGACTTGGGATGGGCTGGGGACTCACTGGATCCCTGCTCCCCCATAGAGAAACATGGGAAGTCCCTGACAAGCAGGCGTGACCTGGAGTATGCTGGCTGGGTGGAAATTCCTCACCATCTCCTGTGCCACCCAAGTCTCCAACTGTGGGGCCCAGGAGACAGAATATCTTAAAAAGCAGGAGTTCTGTCCCTCCTTTCCTGGTGGTTTCTAGACAGCAAGGGTCACCAGCATTCCAGTGGGGCCTGTGACCTGACAGTTCCTTACCTGTTTCCTCTCTATGGGTGCTGGCTGGCTGGCTGCCCTGGGCAGATCCTAAAACATCGGCATTGTAGCCAAATGAAGCTTGAGGGCAGGGGGACAAGAACAACCTGTGTGGCTGGTTCTGCCTCTCTCCATAGGGTGAAAAAAATGTACAATTTATAATTTCTGTATGCACTGTGAAAAGTGGAACGGTCTCAATGGACCTGGCTGATGTTAGAGGCTTGTACAGATCTGTCACACTTCCAGCAATTGAAGTGCTCTTTGCAGGGGCATTATGGTGAGGTGTAGGGGAAGTGCTGTCATTGGGCCTTCTGACTGGATGCTCTAAGGGCATCCCCAGTTCACCACTGCTGTACCCACTACTCTAAGGTTCTCTCGCCGTGGCTTGCCCACATTTTCTCTTTCTGAGATTTCTTCTCCCTTTGTATCACCCCCATTAAATAACTTTCTATAGACGGCAATGTGGGAAAAGCCCAAGGAAGCTGAGCTAGCACAGGCCATATTGAACAGTGTTATAATGAGAAACCTAGGTGCACCTATATTAGCTTCCTCCTTGAATTCCCAGCACTAAAAGCTGTCTTCAAACTGTGACTTTCATTCATCTAAAGAGTATTTACTGGGTAACTATGTAAGTTAGAGAACTGAGAAAAAAGTACATAGCAGCATTATTTCAGTAAGAACTAACAGCATCATAAAAGAATAGAAAAAAAATTCAAGCAAATATCCTAAAACTCTTTCCAGGCCAGACTGGGTGTGCAGCTCTAGGCTGGCGTGGGCCTCATATGAAATCCCTTTGCTCATTTGGGGCTGTCTCCTCTACCTTGGCACTGGCAGATGGGGAGGTAGCACTACCATCTGTCTTTATTTTTCTAACCCCTCCACAAGACATTGCAAAGTGGACACTGCAGGGACACCTCACACTGCCAGCTCTGCTCTTTCTCCCAGATGCTTGCCACTTCTCGGGCCAGATCCCCACGGGGCAGAGCCTGGCACAGGTCACTGGCTGATGGCTGCCTGCTTTTTGGCTCTTTGGCAAAGGGAAGCAGGACAGGGCCGGAGGGGATTCTGGGTGAGCAGCGGTGTTGGGAAGGGACACGGCTGTCAGAGTCATGGCCTCTGTCTGCAGGTGCTCATTGCTCAGTGCAGCACATGTGCTCTCTGACCCCACAGAGAACCTGAGCTGGCGGCTTCAGTCTGACACCAGCTTGTTCTCTTGTGTGGGAGGCTCAGCATTCTCTTGTGGGCTCTTGAGGTCAGGGACTGTGTCCTCCTTTGTCATCAAAGCCCAGTCTGTCCCAGTGCAAAGAAACCCAAGAAGGCCAGTGGGGACCACAGAGGGCATGGAGTACAGTGGGAGGACCTGGTCTGGCTCTTAGCTCAGCTACTCAACAGTAGTATAAGCAGGTTCTCTAACCTTGAGAACCTCAGTTTCCTCATCTGTAAATTGGACGTTCAGCCTTGTCTCCTAGGGTAATGTAGGGATGATGTGACAGAGTGGCATAGCTCCCGGCTCCTGCCAGGCCTTGGGGTGGGGGGTACTCTTTACTGGAAAGTCCCAGGAGACTCATCCCATGAGTAGGGACCTCCACTGCTTGGGGTCCCTGGAAGAAGAGTGAATCCATCTGGGAGGCTGAGGCCAGGACCGACCCACTGACCTCCCTGGGTCATGAAGTGGCACCCTCATTTCACTGATCATGTCCACGCCTCCCTCATCAGCAGAATTACGTGAAGGTGTCTGATAGAGAAGATGCCCACATGCGGTGGACCCAAGCACTTGGAAAGCTGGTGAATGAGACAGAGCAAGGGAATGGTGGGCGGTGGGGTGGCGGCCTACTTCCGGCCCTCTGGGTTGGCTCCAGCTCTACCATTCATCAATCTGTTATCCAGCAAGCCATGCAGGCCTTCTTGGCCTAGCTTTTCTGCTTCCTAAAGGAGTAGGTGGGTAGCCACTGTGGAGTTGCTCTAGATCCCATCCCACCTTTTATTTATTAATTTTTTTTCTGGCTACAATCACAAGCCAGATGGCATTCACACATGCAGTATATTCTTAGGGGTATGTGCAGATTTTGATGAACCTCCCCAAATGTTGAGGGGTAGCTGAAGCAGCCAATATTTTGAAATCACTATCAATACCAGCAGTCTAGCAATACTATTTTCTCACTATGGGCTGTGGGCATAAGCAGGATTGGCTGTGAGTTATGTGCAGTTCCTTTGCAAATGCTGTAAGTCTATGTTGTCTCTTTCCCAGGAGAAAGTGTATCAGAATAGGAACAAGACAGTCTTCTTATGGGGTAACTGGGATTCTGCCTTATTTTATTAAAAAAAGTCCTGAATTCTTAGTCTTAGATCTTGATTAGGAGCAACATATTTCTTGTGATATAACTAACAGTCGACACTGACATATTTACTTATGGTGATGTCAGAATTGGGAATTAATGGGCTGGATAGAGAGTTTTCAGTGTCAGGTTATTTTTGTTCATTTCACAGATCTGGGGCTTGCTTAAGATAAAGACAGCCACTCAACAGTAGGCCACAAGAATGGAATGGAGTTGGTGTAGAGTGGGGTGAAGAAGAGGGGAAAGAGCCAAAGAATGTTGACACCCTTTCTTAGCGACTCACCCATTGCAGACATCATTTCCAATCATGGCATATATGACGATGGCTGGATAGTCCAACATCTGGTTCCTAGACAAGCTGAGAAGCCACAGATAGAATCTGAATGTTAGGCCTTTGGAAAACTAGTTTTATAACCAGATGCCCAGCCTGGGCCTGGGAAAAGGTCTTTACACAACCACCCTCCTGGAAAACATTTCTCTCTTTTGCTTGCATTGCAGCAGAGCTAATTACCATTCCTATCCCCTTCTTCTTCCCTATAATCTCTAACTCACATTCCCATTAGGGAAATCCCACATAAATGCATAAAATTAAGGAGTGGATTGAAATCTCAGGTGAGTAAGCACACTGCCGTCTTCTTAGGATCTTTCACAGCATTTGTTATCAGTAATAAGCACCCGTGAGTTACCAGGATTACTCCTGTCTGGATTCACAGGACATCTGGACATCTGTGGACCCACAGTCAACTTCAAAAAGACAAGGCCTTCCCGAGGGCTTTCATTCAGAGCACCACTGAATTCAGCCCCACTTCTGAATTTTTTTCAGTTTTTATTTTACAGTAGTACATGTTTGCATTAGATAATGATTACAGTCCTTGTGTGGGGTTGGCACATGTACATAACACATCTCAATTCCTTCTTTCATCCTCTTTCCATCATCTCTTGATTCTCTTCCCATTTGAACAAAACCTATCTCCCTACTTCTTATGATCTATCTTTTATTTTGTTCTTTATTTATATTTTGGTATCTCACGTAAGAGGAGCCATGTGGTATTTAAGCTTGTGTGTCTGATTTATTTCACTTAACATATGGTCGCTAGGTGCATTTGTTTCTCAATTTTAAATCCAAAATTTATACAAAAAATGTTTCCTTATTCATTAAGCTGGAATATGACACGATCTTTTTGGTTTTTTAAAAGTTACTTCTGTCAGATGTAAGCTTTATTCAACTCATATATATTTTTATACTTCTTCAAGGGCATCCACAAAAATTAATCACTTCTTAAGCTTACTGGTCCAGGCAGTGATACTTCAGTGTTTGCATAGCAATGAACAAGCTGTCAATGCTCAGTAGAAATGACTACAGGGAACAACAGGGTTATGGCTTGCATCTAGGTGTCCTCCGAAACCTTATGAAGTCATAGGTGGTGCTTTTTGGAGGTGGCTGGATCCAGAGTGTGTGATGCTGGGATCAAGGATTGATGCTGGGATGGATTCTTGGTGTGATGCTAGGATTAAGGCTGCTCTGCCCTGGGTGTGAGGGCTACCAGCCCTAAGGGTGGGTGGTCTGGACAGGATATAAGGGACAGAGAAGGTCATTGCTTGCTGTCTATTTCACTGTTTTGCTGCCCTCTGCCTGCCATAAGCTGCTTCTCCTCTGCCACACTGGCCTGCCTTGGAGCAATTGGGAGCTGAAACCTCTACAAACCATGCACTGAAATGAACCTTCCCTCCTTGAACTATCAAGTATTTTGTCTCAGCAATGAGAAAAGTAACTAAGACAAAGTGTTACTTCATCTTTTTTTCAAAATAAGAAACCAAATTTGAGAACAATTCTTTAGATCCATTGCCCACATACCTTTCTATAAACTTCCTCAGGTTTCTGGAAGATGCACCTGAATAATTAAGGTGAAGAAGTTTAAGTTAGCAAGTTCAATTTGACACTGGCAACATGAAGGTCTAAATTCACGGGAGAAGCATTTTTGCACAATCTGAGTCATCCAGACTATTGTGCTGATGGAAATAATTTTTTTCTGGTGAAGTTTTGGAGTATTTCATCCTGGAACTCTCCTTAAGGGGTTTTCCATTTACTTGGCATTACACTAATAACCAAAAGCCTTTTGGATTCATGGGTCTCAAAACATTTCCAAGGCATGAACGAGTAAACATTCTGGTTGATGTGAGTCAGGTGTATCTCTATCACCAGAGATAAATTGTCCAAAATATTCAAGAATGAGTTGAAGGACAGAGAGACAGTGGCACAGATTCTTTGAGAACTACACATCTCCCTAGAGAGCCCTTTTCATCTCCTCTTTGGATTCCTGCTCACTCCTGGGCTCCTTCAGGGTGGCCCACTGGTGCAAGGGTCAGTTGTCGAGCTGATAAGTTTGAGTTCCTGTAATGGGAAGAGTGACCACCCTCCCCCGATGCCTGATTGCTATCTCATTCTGGCTTAGATCTGAATGCACCCCCAAAACCTCATGTGCTCCTAGGTGGGGCCTTCGCAGGGTGGTTGGATCATGGGGGTGCTATAGGCATGGTGGGTTAGTGCATGGATGAGTTCATACCAAAATGTGCTGCTGGATTGTGGGTCACTGGGGCACATGGCCTGGGTGGGTTTATCTTCCTCCCCTGCTCCTCCCTTCTGTCTCTGCTTCCTGTCCACCCTGCCTTGAGCAGCTTACTTCCTGCAGCTCTACAAGATTATAGCTCATATATATAAATAACATTTAATGAATATTTATTTTATTCCACATACTATTAAACAGCTATCATTTCATTGAAGCTTAAGTACTACTGTCAGGTAGGCATTGTAATATTCCCATTTTATAGATAAGGAAAGCAGGGCTCACCCAAGGGACCTGGACAAAGCCACACAACTGCCAACGTGGAGAACTGCAATTCACACCAGGGCTTATGTCCTCACTGCTGAGTTCCGGCTCCCGGCGAGACCCTGCCCCCTGTCTAGGAAGAGTGAAGCCCCAGAGGCTGCTCTGCCAGGAAGGAGTGAGCAGTTTTCTGGTGGGTTGTGCAAGGCCATGGGTGGGAGTTGGAGGAGCAACATCCAGTGGTCGTTTTCCATAGGAAGACCCTCCAATAACCTCCAGTCTCAGAAGTGTGTGGGGGGTCAAGTATGTTTCTTGGAGAGCAGTCACAGCCTGGATGGGCACGCTGGCCCTTGTTCCCTGGAAGCTGGGTCACCATTGGTTATGTCCTCTTTGTTACATAGAATTAGTTACAGGTTGTATGGGCAGCACTGATGTTCTCTTGAGTGAATCAGGAATGCTAGCACACTAAGCACATTCATGTTGCTGTATAAAACCATCACCACCATCCATCTCTGGGACTTTCCCATCACCCCACATTGAAATTCTGCAGCCATTCTTCTGGCTGATAGGTTCTGATAAATACACTCTACATTTTGTATCCATGATTTAACTGTTCTAGGTGGGTCACTCAATTTTTGTCCTTTTGTGTCTTATTTATTTCACTTAGCATAATATCCTTATGATTCATCCATATTGTAGCACATATCAGACATTTCTTTTCTTTTTAAGGCTGCATAATATTTCATTTTGGGGGGGATACTGGGGATCGAACTCAGGACCTTGCGCTTACAGGGGGCAAGTGCAGTGCCACTGAACTAAATCCCCAGTCCATCCATTGTATGTATACACCACATTTTGTTCATCCATTGATAAATGCTTGGATTGTTTCTACCTTTTGGTTACTGTAAAAAATGCTGCTATGAACATTGGTGTGCACCTATCAGTTCAAGTTTCTGCTTTCAATTCCTTTGGGTGTACACTTATTTGGAAGTGCTAGTTTATTTGGGAGTTTTATTTATTTACTTATTTTTAGAGGAACTGCCATACTGTAATCTTCTTTTTGTAGTAACCCACGGCATTAAAAATGCATGCAGCCATACAAATCAAAGGTAGCCAGTCTGTCTCTGCATGCATGCATTAATTCCTTCTTCCACCCTTTTCATATGTGAGCACTGGGCACCTGCCTGCCACATGGTAGAGGAGCAACACATGAGCTAAGCCCAGCCTCTGTACCTCAGGGGCTGCATCTCTGGGGGTTGATACATAACTGATGTTGGGGATAATACTGAAAAGTTAGTGTGAAGCTTGGAAAGAGGGGAAGCACGTGACTGAAGCCTATTGTCTTTGCTTGGGATGCTTCCTGATTTCACAGCACTGCTCCCAAGTGTTTTGCCCGCTCCATTGTTCCCAGTGTCCTCCAGAGCAAGAGGAAAGCAGCCCTGCACACTCTCCATTTCCCATGGTGGCTCACTCACCAGCAGGGCCTTCCATTCAGATCTACCCCATGGCTCCCAACTTCCCATTTTCAGCAGGATAATAAATCAAGAGGTGTTTAATTCTCACTCTTTGATTGTTCTTTTAATGAGAAATGAAAACTAATGAAAGCTCATGGCAGGAGTGGGAAAAAATGATAGGACCAGGCTGAGCCAGTAATTTTCCTCATTATCCAGAGTACAGGTGGGAATTTGAGGTGTGCAGCAACTGCAGAGTGTGAGGAACTCACAGATGGAAGCCTGTCGTGGCTTCCGTGTTGGCAGCTCCTCTCCATACCCAGCTCCACTTCTGTCTCTTTACTGCTAAGGGCAAGGACAGCAGACTCAGCACCACAGACTGTGGTGGATTTAAATTAAAAAGCAACCGCACACATCCACCCAGTGAGCAAGAAATTGCTGATTCTTCTTCATCCAAAATCCTACTTTGGTCGGTGTCCATACTACAAGCATAGATTTCTCTTTGCTCCAAATTGCTTGTATCTTTCACCATTTCCATTTCCTTTTGGAAATCTCAGTTTTATGAGATTATCTAATTTGTTTACCTCTCCCCTGTCACTTTCTCCTATTCCCTTCTCTGTTGTCCTGCTGTCCTTTGGTTCTGTCTTCCTCTGTCCCCAATTCTATTGTCCTCTCCTATTGCATACACTCCTCTCCCCAGCTGGCCCTCCCTGCTGCTGCCCATTCAAAGATGGAACCAGAGGATGTGAGCAGGAAGGAAAATGAGCTCCTCATCCATAGGAGGCAGTAAAGCAGCAAAGCAAGCCAAATGCTTAAAGAACTTGCAAAGCTTACACTCTGGCCTCTGTAATTACAGTTCAGAGAAATGGGAGAAGTTTGACCTTGGAAGAGAGGCAATTAGGGTGTTTGTCAAGGTGGAACGATGGGAAACCTACCTGTCCCTTGTGAAGAAAAGAGTCCAGGAGGGCCTTTAAAGTCTGCATTCTGGCTCTGCAAGTCTCTTGTAAGCAGAGCACACAGTGCATTAGTGCAGAAGGTGCACTGGAAGAACAGAAAGGCTTCACCTGATCTCAGCACCCAGCAGCTCTCCCTAAATGAATGTCAGCTCTCATTGCCATCGCAAGCTCGGCAGACCATGCCAGTGAGTACCTTACAGTCTGTGCATTTAAATCAACTGGTAAGGCAATTTTAATGGTTTTTTTCAATCAGCTTGTAACTCAGTTCTGTGGCTCAGAATAGGCTAGGTCTCGAATTCTTCATGGAAAGAGAGAATCTTTACAAGGTGTGCTAAAAAAGAGTCAATTAAAAATTATTACAGTAAAAGATGCATTGTCATTAGTCCTTCTCAAAATACCCTCCCTCACAATGAGCACATTTATCCCATCATTTTTGCCACTTTCTGAAGCAGTTCTGAAAGTCCTCCTTCGTGAGTGTCTTTCCATGGTGGTCTTGATATCCTGAATTAAAGATGTTTACAGCAATTTCTGTCAAATTAAAACATTATAGTGTGTCCTTATTTACCTTATTCACCAGATCTGGCACCATGTGACTTCTGGCTAGTCCCCAAAGTCAAAGTGACTATGAAATGTGAACATTTAAAATTAATTCAGGACATCAGCCACAACAGTGCAACTAAGGACACTCAAGAAAGAGGACTTCCAGAACTGCTTCAGAAAGTGGCAAGAATGATGGGATAAGTGTGTTCAGAATGAAGAGGAGTATTTTGAGGAAGATTAATGGTAATGTGTCTTTTACTGTAATATATTTAAAAAAAAATTTAAACATTCATTGTATATTTTTATCATGCCTTGTAAATATGTCTTCATAAATTAGGCAATTCATTAACTTGGCCATATTTATCGAATACTTACTATGTATCAGGCATTGTAGTAGTTGCTGGGAACACATCAGGAAATAGGAAAGATATGATCTGTTTCTTTGTTTGTTTTTTGAAATAGGGTCTCACTGTAGTTCAGGCTGGCCTTGGACTCACTATGTAGCTCAGATTAGCCTCGAACTCTCTGCAATCCTCCTGCCTCAGCCTCCTGAGTACTGGGATTACAGGCACAGGCCACCACACCTAGCTATGATTTCTGTTTCTATGAGGTTTCCAGTTATTAACAAGTAATGGGCTTGCAGTGTTAGGGGTATAGAGAAGTGCTGAAGAATTGGTGTTGGGTCCTGCATTAAGTGCTAACGTTTCCTTTCCTAAGATCTCATTAATTAATTCCCACTGAATTACCTGACACTCTTCACACTGCTCAGAGACAGATCTCTAAAATTTAACACCAAAGCTTGTGACTATGTGTATAGGACAAGGAAGACCCAGGTTTTGTGCATTCTGAAGCTGACAACATTTGAGGGCATTCTCTTTAAGAAAAAGAACACAAACTATCCAGAACAAGTCTTGACATTAGATGAAGCCAGAGTGGAAAGAGATACAGTCAGAACAAATTGTGGTAAAATATCTTATATTTGCTAATTTTATAAATAGGCCTGTTTGGCAGGCAAGTGAGGGCCCTCAAGCTTCAAAACTCTGCTTTTTGGCACAAGTCTTAGAGCAACCTCCATCTCGAAGCTAGATTTAACAAGCATTGACCCTGGGAGCATCTGGCC